AATTGCCTGTCTTAGCCAGTGGCCTACCAACGTTGGTAATTGATTGGCTTAGGGGGGGATCGGTGGCCGAGTGGGCTGAAGCGCACACCCAGCTCGACGCGCGTGGAGCGAAAGCTCGCGCTGCAGAACCCAGGGATCCTGGGTTCGAGCCCCACCCCTGCCCGTTTCGATCTGCATGGATGAGCATCGTACTGGCGTGCGGTCGTGTATCACTACTGCGTGGTGCACGTTAAATACCCCAGGCTAGCGGTTGTACTGCACTGGCTATATTGCTCATCTACAGCGTGTGACTCGTCGCAACTTTAATGGCTGACCAACTACACGCTGTATAAATATCCCCACAACCCCAATTATTATTATGATTGGCTTAGTCTGGTGTGATGAGCGATCCCGCGACCAGCCGAAGAGGACGAGAAAGAAGAAGACGAGGTGGGGGCATGCGAGGAGCGCGAGAGGGGATTCGGGCGGTTGACAAAGGACGGTGCAGACGCGACCAGGCCGGACCTCCGTCGGCGTGACCAGACGTCAAGAGGCCCGACCCACAACCCACTTCTCACGCAGTCCGGGCGCCAACCTTCCGGAGGTAGACAAGACTGCATGCGTGGCGCGGCTGAACACCCGCTGCCACTCCGTGCCACAGACGTTCTGGGCGTGACTCAAGCCTTCGGCCAACGCCCAACTGCCTCGTCGCTACTTCCTTCGGCCCAGACCTTGGCGGACACCTGGTCATAGGCTGCCACCGGCGTACGGGGCCTGATTCAAGCCTTCGGCCATCGGTCAACTGCCTCGTCACTACGTACGGACCTCGGCCCTGACGTCGTAGACCCCTGATCATCGGCTACCACGGGTGCTACGCCGCAAGGACTGAAAAGTCGTGAGCGAGGGACTCTTTAGGGGACACTCAAATCTTAACATTTGTTGAAGTGCTGCTTGGGAGTGTGCTTTACTAAGCCCAATGTGCGTTTGAAAGCGTTGATTTTTGACCTTTGGATCTTTTCGTAGATGCCCCAGTGCGAAGCTAACAATTGAAGAATCGACAGCTTAAAAATGGTGCTGAAGTGGCTGCCAGGGTCTTGCGACAGGGGAGGCTGCAGGAAGAGGCGTTCGGAAGCCGTAATGGCTCCCCGACCTCAGGACTCGCCCCAGGACCTTCCCCAGGACCAGGCATAGGCTCCCCGCTGAGCTTCCTCCCTAGCCCCTTTCAATAAAAGTTCCGAAAAAAGTATTAATTGATCTTGAGTTAGTCATTTGCTCGCCAGATAAAATAGTGCACAGACAAAGCATAGGAGGACCTTGCCATTTGTGCCCAGAATGTTTTTCTTGCAGGGGGCTGCTAATAAGAAAGAGGCCAGGGGTTCTTAAAACCCAATGTTGGAATAACCAGGACTTAAACACATTGCCATCATTGCATAGCCAGCATTAAAGATATGGCATTAACACTGGGACATGCCAATGAATCAGCTTGACTGCCGATAACGGCCTATTCAATGATTGAACTTGTATACCAATGATGGCATAGCCATTGAATTAGTGTGAAAGCCAAAATTGGCATAGCCAATGACATAGTGTGGATGCCAACGATGGCTGAAATATTGGTTTAACGATGGCCTAAAAAAGGTGCCAATGATGGCTGGATCATTGGTTGAACGATGGCCCAACGTTGGCGCCAATGACGGCTGGAAGGTTGGTTGAACGATGGCCCAACGTTGGTGCCAATGATGGCTGGAACATTGGTTGAACGATGGCCCAACGTTGGTGCCAATGGCTGGGCCAACATTGGAAGAAGTTGCGCTCGGCCAGAATACCAATGTTGGACCAACCTCCGGAGCCAGCGTTTACCATTGTTGGCCCAATGTAGGTCCAACATTGGTGTGCTGCCTGGGTGGCCTTTCGATAACTCTGGCGCGAGGAACTTCAGCTCTGTTGACAATAACACCAGAGAAGGCTCAGAAACATTGTTCGCGTCGTATTTGATCTTAAATGCCTCAACGGTTTCTCGTCCACACTTATATCTGTGTGGTCTTTTATCCATAAATATCCTATCGTTTTAATTTGGTCATAAAAGTTTTGGGCCATTTAGTTTTATTTTAAATTTGAGCATTTACGTTTAATTTTTCTCTTTCTTTCATTTCTGTGAGGTTCACAGTCGTAGTAGTGTCATGAGCATTTCATAAATATTCGTTGCTCATTGAAAGAACTGTGTGTCTGTGTTCGTCCTTCATGTGTTTTATTCGTTCTGTGCCTTCAGTACCGCTTTAATGGAAACTTTATTTTATTTTATTTTTCTACCGTTCGGGCACTCCCTGCCCTCCCTACACGCGCGTGCGCCCTTTCCTTTGCTTTTTGCAATCCTCTTTTTTTTTTAATTTTTGTTTTTGTTTGCTGGTTTGGCGGTTTGCCAGTCCCGCAATGCGAGCTGCCGCCGGCGCAATCCAACTTAGGGAGAAGCGACCGGCTGCTGTGCTTTGTACGCTATATCGAGTGACCCCGACATGAGAGGCCATGGAAGTTCGATACAGAAAAGCTACGCTCCTACACTTTTACTTTACATGTGATTTTCAAGGGGATGTTTGGACTGTTAGATACAAACCATAATTCGAAATGCCCGGGTGTGATATAACCGGGCTCGACGGTACAATGTTTTAGGTTACCTTTAAGGTGTATGAGAGTTCCTGTCTTTGAAGGGATACTGAGCTCTCCAAAATATTTTGAAGTGCCTCAATTGGACACAAATGACACGAAATGAAGTTTTTGCAAACTTCTTTAGCTCACTAATTATGCCGTAAGACACATCATGAATTATGAAAGAATTCAAAATTGACACTTATACTGGAAAATTAAATCCAAACTAGCGGTTAGTTTCAATTTCGTTCTAAACTTAAAATGGTCTCCTGGCGCACATGTTATTCCAAGCACCGTTTTCGTTTTCAACATAAAGAGGTGACCTGGCGCTCATAACTCTCTAGCTTCCTCGTATAAGCAGGAATAATTAGTGTCGCTCAGTGAAGCCAGCACACTAGACAGGCTTGGCAACTTGCATACCAGCACGGATCTCCCACCCTCACTATAACCGCCATTTTGTAAATCAGTGGCACCACCTATAGTGAACGGGAGTCGCGGATTCAGACGTGTGTTTTCATCAACTGCCGTTTGTACGCTTTGCAAACGAAGACGACCCCAGTCAGAATGCCTGGAGTCTAGCTGACCGTCCCGGGAATTCCTCGTGTGCCTACGGACAAGCACGGGGGGCCGACCGGTGCTCATCTCGAGAAATATGCTTCCTTTGCGAATGAATCTCGTATTATTTTTGTAGAAAGTTAAAACCACACGTGGAATGTTGGCCTTCTCTGTACCCTTTGTATTTTATCGACTAAGATGGGGCGCAGGGCGGGCAGTCAAAAGAGAGTGATGTTTATTTTAAACATATTTTAAAAGTCAATAAGGCAGGAAATGTATGAACCAATGCCTATTCTTTAGCTGCAGATGCTTATTCTTAAATTAAGTGCTTTTGTTTACATGCATCGAAGTATTTTTCAGTGTGTTGCGCAACTACTACAGCTCCTAACGGACTGCACCATCGCCGGAAAAATTTGCGCGAGATTGCTAGCACACCGAGTTCTGCGTGCCGTTGGACATACACAAATGTAATATCAGGCTTCTTGTTTTTCTAAATTTAAATAAAATTAGCACTTAGGCTAACATAAACATACCTCACCTAGGCTGCATTAGAATTTGATCCACCCCTTGGGCAAGTATGACAAACTTTCACAATACTGGGCTCGTGTAATTTACCGTACCTGTACTATCCTAAACAAATGTGGAAAAATGTGAGGCGGCATGCCGTGCTCGTAAATTGACCGATGTAGTGTAGACCAAACGTAAGCCGGTTCAAATGGTGTAGGTCAGTTGATTGAGCTTGCCATTTCAGTCACTATACTCAGTTCCGTACCTAAACCTAGTTCACGCACTTGCGACCACTTATGACAGTGTGCCTTAAAACCTTCTCTCACGAAAGTACACATTGTCACCATCCATCGGGTAACTTTGGAACTCTTGGCACTCCCGTATATTTCCTAGTTTTTTCTCGCTTCGTTCCTGGCTCGAAAAAGTTTAGACGTTGTCATAAATAGGGTTCTGTGTATTCGGTAAATACCGATAAACCTCGAAAGTTGACCCCCGGGCAGGTTTTATTCAAATCGGGGGAAACCGAAAAAAACTGAATTGGAGCTTCCCGGGAAAAACATTTTTAGTGCAATTTTATTGTGTTTACCTCGAACAAAACGCAGCCACACTGACTGTCTGCGAGCCTACTTCTTGGGAAACCAGACCCCTTGTCTCGTTTCCTGCTTTTATCAATACCGGGACATTGTCCGAGTAATCTGGCAGTGAGCTTGTTCTTTGGAGGTTGGGGAATCCTATGCCCATGTCCCATTTCTTCGACGTAAGGACCGATAAACGCCATATTTGTTTGTCTGACGCCGAAAAGCACTGAATCTGTTGGAAAACATAAACCTCGAAAAAACCCTGCCCAGTTTGTTTGAAGAAAAGTGAACCCTGAAAATGAGGAACCCTAGTTAAATAAACCATTTCTCGTCGATGATACACACATTTGATCTCGCCAATTGCATAAAATCTTTATTCTAGTGAAAAGCACTTTGGGTCATCTCATAAGTGGCACATTTTCTTGTAAAAGATTGCAAGAACTCCAAGCAAAGGCAAGTGTGTGATCGGGCATTTAGTTTGCGACGCCATGAAACGTGCCGATGCATGCGCCTTACCTCATTCAGAACCTTGTTTTCACGAGAACGTTTGCTAACAAACCACAAGAGAGAACCACACGCTTGTTCTAGCATCTTCGACAGCATTGTACACCAAGGATGAAATGCACACTTGGAGCATTTTAAGAATCGAAGTTCACGAGACTCGGAACGGTCGACCAGCGATTGAGTGCCGCACGGGCACATTTATTGGGATCCTTCCATTTCCCTACAAAGGTGCTGTACGAAATGGCATTGTGTTCGTTTTGTGTGTGTTTCCTGTACAAGGGAATCGTTGTATGCTATGCACACGTGGCGGCCAGCTTGGACGATCGTGCCTCTCCGAGAGACAGGATGCCTTGAGCCGTCAGGGTCTTGCCGTGGCAAGTCTTGAGGTGCCGCTTGTAAGTGTTCTTTTGCCAGAAAAATGAACTTCCCTAAAGTATAAAATCCAACCCCCCCCCCCCCCCCCAAAAAAAAATAAACAAATAAAAATGTATGGGTTTTTTGCGCTTCAAAAATAGACAATGCATTGCTGAACGCTCTGCTTCCACCCAAATGCAGTGCTAGCGGTCCAAACCAGATGCCAAAACTAATGGTTATCTTGTTCAAAAGTCACAAATGACTCTTTCAAATAATTTCAATGGGAAGCTGGAGCGATTCTTAGTAACTATTCATGGAGCGACTCGGCTCCATGAATGTATTGGACAGGGGGCCGCCATTCTCCGAATGAAAATGTAAGAATATCGCATACCTTTGAAAAGGACAATGCTTACCTCTGACATCTGGTTTGGATTGCTAGTGCTACATTTGGGTGAAGAATGAGCGTTTGGCAATGCCTAATTTATTTTTGCAGTAAAAAAAGATATATTTTGGGGAGGAATTTTATGGCACTTTTCTAGCAGCTATAGTTTGTGACAAGTTAAGAGTGGAGGAAACTCCTCCCATGCCCTTCCACTTTAGCAAAGCAAACGCCAGAGAGGAGGTAACCTTCTCTGCTAAAATGGAGAGGGGTGGGAGGATCTTCCCCCGAACTCTTAACCTGTTAAACTGCCACTGACAAAGGAATGACTTCGGATTAGGTCTCTACACAATTTGGTTGGTAGTAGAATGTGTCAGAAAGATGTTTGGGCCCTATGCATATAGGCACCCTTTAACAGATCTTAGTTCCACATGTAGACATATTTTTGCAAAAAACGGAGATATTGCATTTTCCATGAAACTTAGGCAGACCTTTTTTGTTGCTTGCACAAAATCGCCTTGAACGTTCACTCTCTTTGAAGGTTGAACTCGGGAAACTTTGAATGTCTGCCCCCAGTGGCGTACCAACTTGTTTCTATGTGGGGGGGGGGGGGGGGGGGAAACCAGACCCACCCACCCTCCCAAAGCCGGGGGTCGGTGCCTCTGGTATCCCTTGGGCGCCGCCTGCCAGTGTTTCGCCTGCTCAGTGGCAACTCTTTCCGGTGGGTAGGGGGGGGGGGAGGGGGGCAAAACTTGCCTTGTTACCCCACTCTGACAACGTCCCCCCGGTTGGTATGCCCATGTCTGACCCTGCTTACTGTAGAATACTGCGCATCCGCCCATTCCACGTGAAGGGCTTATTCCCAAATCTGTAAGATCTGAGAAAATATGCGCCCTACATTTATATGTAAAATTGATGACTGGACAAGCGCCCATCCCCCATTTTTTCGCGATTATGTCTAAATTTTGTGTGGGCACTTGCCCGGTATTTTACAGTAATGCATTATAAGGCGAGTCGTACAAAAGAGTAAAGTGGTAACTACCGTGTTACCTTAGTCTGTCAATAAAGCAATAGTGATAATTATGTATGACTTATTGACACACACTATTCAGTTTATGTGGACCACTAACTCGTGACTTCAGATAAGGCGGTTCCCGCAACCAGTGCAAACTCCCTCGAGGTGCACCAAAGTTGCACCCTTTGGGAACCTTTTAGAGAGTACATTTCCTCTATAATGAAACCTACATCCTCCAGGGAATATTCCCTTAAGAGGTGTCAAAGCTTTACCCTTTAAAGAGTAAATGCCCTGAATAGGTATCAAAGCCACCTTTTAAGGAGCTCTCTTTTAAAAGGTGTCAAAGCTGCACCCTGTGGGAAGTACCTTCAGGACGCTAAAACTGCATCCTTTCGTCGGTACATTTCCTCGATGGGTATCAAGGCCACACCTTTTAGGCAGTATTTCCAAGGGATGCCAAACTGCATCCTTATGGCAATATACTCCTTCAAGGTGTACCAAAGGGGAGTATTCCCTTAAGGGGTGCCAAGGCTGCACCCTTTAAAGTTGCACCTCTGGCTGCAGTCTGTGCATTGGTAGGGGGTCTTTCGCGTGTGGCGTCTCAGGTGCTCCTTGAAGTGGGACGGGTGCCGGAAGTGGCGGCCACAGTCCTCGCACGCAAAGCGACTCTTGTTGTTGTGGATCAGCATGTGGATGTTGAAGCTGTGCTGCCGGGTGAATGTCGCCTCGCAGATCTTGGAGTTGAACGGCTTGATGTCTGCACACGAAATGCATTTTAATGCAACGCCTCCCCATTCTTAAATTTTTGTCTGTCCGTTCGTCTGTCTTTGCACACCCGCTAGATTTAACAAAGATTGACACGTGACCTATATACCATGTCAGTCTCCCACTAAATTTAAAGAAAAAATTGATGTTCCATGGCCTGATGTCATCTGAACTATATGCCAATTGATGAAAATACAGGTTATTCACTTTTCGAAATGCCTGTTTAATATCTTATAAACAAATTGAAACGATTGCTCCTTAAGCACTGCATTTCATCCATTATAAAAGTGAAAACAAAGGTCACCACAACTTTTTTTTTTCGAAATATTGCTGGAAGATGGCTCCACAATTGTGAGAGGCAATTTGGTGCAAGCGGGCACAAAAGTAAAATCAAACCAGAAGGTGTACAAGATAACAGTTACCTCTCAACATAATCTCTCGCAATACTGGTACACTTTTCCCGCCACTTCACCGGTTCTCATAACTGACAGCGTAAAAATGTTCTGTGGCAGCCTTGCCTTTTGCCGAACCGCAGCTTCAAATACTGAGTGTCCTCGCGAGAATTCCTAGCATCGGGTTCCTTTCTGTTGCACCAAACGGTTGCAGCGAGATGGCTTCCATCGGTGTGTCAAAGCATGCCCCGAAAAAGGCTCTCATGCACAACAGGGGACCCCGCTCATGCACACCAGGGTGCAGATGTAGTGACTCTGGCAGCACCAAAACGGTGCTTCGCTCACCCGCGTGACTGCGGTGGTGGTACATGAGTGTTGCCTGGACGGTGAACACCTTCCTCTTGCAGATCTTGCACACCAGGGGGCCCCGCTCATCTTTGCGCTTGGCGCGGAGGGCACGGATGTGCTTCAGGGCAAGGCGCTGGTGCAGTAGTAATGAAAAACTCTACAAATCCATCCGCAAAAAAAAAATAAAAAAATAAACAACGCAGTTTACATTTTTAAACTGCACAACCAGCACATGATTCCGGGAGATATTCAAGCCCTCGCGAGCATTCTTCGAAACAACTGGGGAAAGGTAAAAAGTTTCGGACTGATAACGGACGGCCTTAATGGCATATGTGCCGAACAGAGACTCGAAAAGTAAGTGCAACGAGAGAGGTGGCACCAATAAGGCTGCTCATTTCACGCTTAGGGTTTCAAACCAGCCGGCCCTCTTAGGTAAGAGAACTGGCTGGCTGCATTTCCACCGCCTAGGGGAAAGGTACCCTCGCCATTACAAAATGGCGCAAGTTAAGAAAAAGCACAACTTCAAACATCCAATCTGGTTTTCAAGCGATTTACAACCCAGCCAGAATAGGTAACCATTTTATCGGCAATCCACCATAGATTACTACGAGCGAACGAACGACCAACTAGACAACGAGGACGTCAACCTCCCGGAGACCAGAGAGGAGCGCGGATTGGACACGAATGCTGCGTCCAGCCGTGACTCACATACCCACCGACCGAGTCCCAGCTGATTGTCGACGCAGCACTTGTTTCCAATCTACACTGTGCCGGGACAGATTGGATACACCGGCACACTGTAGATACACGGCCTCCGGTAGGCGACATAGAAAATATGTTATACGAAGGCTGGTTCACACTTGCGACTGCATATGACCATGTGCGTGGGCCTTAAAACCTCTTGTAATCAAAAAGGGAACACGCTGGTGTCATCAATCGAGTAGCCCCTTGGCGATTCTCTATATTTTCTAATGTTCCTTTGGCTCGAAAATATTTTTACGATGTTATAAACGATTATTTGTCACGGATTGTATGTACATTCGGTCTCGCAGATATTGCAAAACCTTCCCTCAAGGAAAATGCAGTTTCAGGGTCGCGTCATAGACGGCGCTAGCATCCCAAGCAGCACTTTGTGAATGGGCCATCGCTGGCAAGTGTACTATGGCCAACCAGATTTTCGATGGCCCAAGCTAGGCCAAAGTGCTCGGCAATAGCAGTGTTTTCGTCCTCGTCTGGTGACTTGCCATTCACTTTATGCCAGTCGCTGGCCATTCACTTTAGGTCAGTGACTGGCCGTTCACTTTAGGCCAGTGACTGGCCATTCACATTTGTCCAGTGGCTGGCCATTCACTTTAGGCCAGAGACCGGCCATTCACCTTTGGCTATGACTGGCCATTCATATTTGGCCAGTGACTGGCCATTCACTTTAGGCTAGTGACTTGCCATTCACCTTTGGCCAGTCACTTTCGGCCAGCCACTGGCCATTCACGTTTGGTCAGCCGCTAGCCATTGACTTCCGGCCAGTCACTGGCCGAAAGTGGCTGTAGTTATACACTTAATACATAATTTATCACAGACCGCCAGAAAATTTGGGTGTTGCTCAGAAGACTGTCAAGAGTTTCGGGAGGTCAAGTTTGAGAACTCAACCCCAGAAACTTTTACATAGTAATGACACGCGAAGCTGCTGCAAGGCTGCTCAATATTTATTGGACTTTTTGAGTACTAAGTCTTACGACGCTGGTTGCAACCAGCATTCCAGTCGTCGTGGGTTCAGGGATGGTATGTTGTCCCACCATTAAGATCCCCCGGTAGTGCAGCAGTAAAAAAAATAAAAAGAAGTAACTTTAGGTGAAGGGACAGTGCAAGAATAGAGAGTTTAAGTAGATCGTTCCGATACCTCCGATAGCCCCGATAACGGTACTATGGATGCGCAAGGGAAACGGTAGCGGAGTATCGGGTATTGTTATCGGAGTCATGGGAGCGATCTACTAAAACTCTCTACTGTTCGGTTACAATATTTTTCACTTTACACAAGCTTACTGGCACTAATGGGAAAGAGAAGCCTTGAGTAAACAGTAAAAGTTTTTACACACTTAAGGGTGCAAATCCGTTTGTCCCTGGGCTAACACCCTTATGGCCAGACTTGTACGTAATCCGTTACAAGTAACGAAATTACTCGTAATCCCTTACATTTATCAGTAATTTAGTAACGGAATATATACATATTTTCTAGAGTAATTTTAAAGTAATTCCTTTACATTTTTGACGTAACGGATTCCTTGTAATTCGTTACATTTTTTTTGTCAGAACCAACCCCCCCCCCCCCCCAAATCCTAAATGAAGTTTTTTTTTGTTTTTTTTTTCATTTTTGTAAAGTCGAGCGCAGTGACACTGTCACGCGAATCGACCAGCGCAAAGGGAGGCTTGGCACTCTTCAGTTCCGCAAAGCCTTTTTTTCAACACCAAGCCCCTGGATCTATCTTTTTTTTTAAACCTTAACATCAATGTCAAAAAATCCAAATAAACAATTCTACAAAAAAAAAGGGGGGGGGGGGAAGGCAAGTTATTTTTGCTTTTTTTTTTTTTTTAGTCTCTGTTTTTTCTTTGCGATCGAAGACGGGGAGACGAGGACACCAAGTGATTGTGCGGCTCTTCGAGAAGCTCGAGGCAGTAAGTGCACAAAAAAGAATTAACAATGTCCTTCTCGGTTATAGTGACTACGACCATTTTCATAATGTCACAACACGAGACAACGCTCCGTCTACCCTACCTTTTTGTGAGTCAGCTTTTTGCGAGCACTTAGAAAATGGTAATAGTCTTCCTTTCTTCTTCCTCCTGTTTTGCCCCAGCAGCAGGATCTTATCTCAAGCAGATATTTTTACAAATAAAATATAATGGTGGCTGGACGCAGACTTGATATTCTGGGCTTGAGGAGAGAGTGAAATTCGTGAGTGGGGCACTAGCGCGGCTTACTTAGTACTCTACCCTTTGCTGGCCGTGGCATCAGCGGACGTCTATCTCGAGAACACCGGAGTAAACTGCAGTCGGCTCGTGCTCCGTGCGTTTTTGAACGGCACCAAGAAAGGCACACAGGGCAAACGTGCGTTTACATTTCCTTGTTTTAACCGACGTTCTAATTAATTGTTGTTATGAGTGTCCTTCTTTTTCTTTTATTACTTATATTTATATACTGGAAACTTTTTTTTATTCACCAACGTCTCAACCGAGGCTCGACCTGTTCAGAACCAAAGAAAGAAGAACATCGAGGCAAACCTGATTTATTATTTAATTATCACCTTACTGTTGCAACTATGTTTTGCTATTGATGACTTCTACAGCTTCGCGATTTAGAAAATAAAGAATTTTAGTAGATCGGTCCGATGACTCCGATAACGATATCCGATACTTCGCCGCCGTCTTTGCGTATGCATCATATCGTTATCGGGTACCGTTATCGCGGGTATCGGAGGTATCGGAAGGATCTACTAAATCTCTCGAATAGCATGGCAACGGCTGCAGCGACGAAGCTTTGCTCTACATTCGAGGTAAATACTACTTCCCTTGCTTCGCTGAAAAAGCTCAATGCAAAGCATGAAGCATTCGTGAGGAACAATTGTGGGAAGTAAAAAGGAGGGAGGATTACGCACCTTTACGTCCGGAGATCGGTCCGGTGCTCAAAGGGGAAATCCGATGCCCGTCCCACCGCGCGGCCGACGGCTACTACCAGCGAGGGTGGTCGCCACGCCGGGTTCGGCCAACGCCATGCCAACAACGATGATCCCGGTATCCAACAGCGTTTATTGAGTACCAGGGGTCCCCAACAAGACACTGCGGTCAAGCGAGCCGCCGCGGACATAGTGTGCCCGCATCGCCCTCCAACCTGAGAGCCAAAGGGGTAATTGCGAGCGGAGTCATCGCCGGTCGGGCGAGCTCACGCCGCTACCCGTCGTCGCAGGAGTTCGGGGCCAGGGCTCTCGGCAGACGGACGTCCACAGGTTGTGCGGACGCCGACTGTCAGAGCCCGGGGAATCAGTAGCGTGGAGTCATCGCCGGTCGGACGATGCTCGCGCCGCGACTCGACCCGCTGCCCGGAGTCCAATCGAGGACTCCTCGACCACACGGCCGTCCACTCGGAGGGCAGGCCCGACTCTCCCTCGCGCGATGTCGCTGTTCCCCCGAAATCGGGGAGACGCCCGGTGGAGTGCGAGAGAGTAGGCCAGCAAGGTGGCGCACCCTCTCCAACACGATACGGGACGAGCCACCTCGAAGCCAGGCAACTCCGGCCGGCACGTCCGCGGCTTACGCCTTCTCGGGGGAGGGAAACCCGTGGCTCCCACAATCCCCCCCTCCTTAAAACATTTGACACCCCTTTCAGAGAAAGGGGCGCCGGCTCTCAAACCCCCAAAAAACAAGACCTGCGTGCTGACAGCACGGGTGCCAGTCGCGCTTACAAATAAAAAACGGGGGCCTTGGTAGCCCCCGAAACTGCTGCCGTAAATGTTCCACATACCGGAGTTCACGACGCTCTGCTGGGGCGATGCACTCCGGTGCCGTAGAATAAAGCCGTGCAAAGTTCCTCGATGCCGACCGATCAGTTCTTCCGCCACACGGAGCACCACTCACTGGGAACGCTGATGCTCGGCGGTGCTGCTCAGTGGTGCCGCTCGGCCTACGCTGCACGTCCTCGACTCGTCGTGGGCCAACCTCCGTCGAAACGAACACGGTGACACGCGTACAAGTCCGCCCATTGTCACTCTCAAGGTGAATGCGGGAGACCAGCGGCAAGGGGAACGCTGGCCACCGAAGCCGAAGGTGCACCCCGGGGCCGGCAGCAAGTGACGTCCGTGGCCAGGCCCGCATCAGGAAGCCTGGTTCAGCTGAGTGCCTCGGTGGGGTCAGGCTGTCCGACGACAGAAGGACGACAGTGGCCATCTTGCCCCGGCCGGAAGTCAGCCTCCCCGTCTGCTGTTCCCGGCCGCCGCGGGTGCGCAAAGTCCCGGCAGCGTTAGCGATGACGCACATCCGGCAGGTCCCGCCCAGCCGCTCGGCGTGTCCCCCGCCGTCGGACGTAGTGGGGGATGGCAGGGAAGAGGGGGGGCACGAGCATCTTCCTGAATGACGGAAAGAAGAGCC